CGCCATCTGCTGGCTGCTGCTGGAACAATGACTTTATTCCTGGGAACATTTCCATTCAAAACCCTCCAGTTAAAAAAATAACGTGACACAAACCGAAGGAAACGTTTTGGGGTCGACATGCATGAAAACTCAAACGCCTCTTTGGAGCTGATTTCTGCTAAACCAAGCTGCTGAGTTCTGCTTCTGCCGAGAGACGATTGTCTCAAAAGAAAGCTGTCATCTCTGCTCCGTGGCTTCACCCTGATTGCTGCGTGTGCACATCCTCCTCTTCATCTTCGTCCTACTGTGATGACAGGAGCAGAGACGACAAACTCCTCCTCCTCCTCTAATCCTCCTCCTGCCTTCACCTTGGCCAGCCTGCAGTCGACTCCCTCTGTGTTTTCTCTAAAATCTGTTCCTGTTATTGATTTGAAGCTTCCACTACCGGCGCTGTCCTTGGTTCTGACCGTAGTAATCATTTCATTCATAGTGGAAAGATCAGAGCTTCTTTCATAATCTCCTTTTTCAATGTAAACATGCATCAAAAATCTGGGATTAAAAACAATCTTTCAATCCGTATATTCACCGTCCATTAATGATTTAAACATCTCTCCATCTTTGTGAATTTATTTATACTTTAAAAACTGAAAAAGGCGTTTGGACCCTGGTGTCTGCTCTTTGGCGTTCTGCTTGTGAGCTCTAACCTTTATCTGAACTTTTATGCTTTGGGTTTTGTAATCCAGGTAGATTAGCTTTACTCTGAGTTTAATCCAGGAAAATAATTGTTAATGATCGTGCATCGATTTGCATTTTTTTAATAGCATGTTGGTTTTTGCTAATGAAAAGGAAAGAAACAGGACAGGATGAGTCGTAGTAATACGATGCATGACCCGGATTGGAAAGAGAGGATTATTTTATGAGATCTCAGCAACAATTTAACTGGAACAATAATTTGAGAGGCTAAAAAAAGACTCAGGATGTTTACTTTTAGGTCATGCAAGGATTGAAAGGTTTTCTTTTTTAGCTATTTTGGTCTTTATCAGGTTTTAAATCATCAGTTTTAACAGCAGCCAATCAGAGACGCCACGTCTGACACAGATCTGTCATTGTTTGGTTTAAGGCCCATAGAAATAAAAACAATAAATAGTTTAATTTAAAGTTTGAGAAATGGAAGAATTTATCAACACACTCAGCAAATCACTGAGAGGAAGAAGAGGAAGAGGAGGAGGAGCAGGAAACCCCCCCAAAGGAGAAGGTGTTGGGTTTGGAGAAAACAGGCAGCAATTACAGAAATGAAAGGCTTGAAACTGCAAGAATCCTCAGCTCTGCAGTTACCATGGTAACCGGCCCAGGCCGCCTCCTCCCTCCTCATCCTCCGGCGAGCCGCTTTGCAGCACAATACGACAAAACGAAAGGATTTTCACTGAAGGAGGAGGGAGGGGAGAAACTTTCAGCCTCTTTCCATTCTGAGCTGCTGAAAAGATGGCCGCTTCTACTGGGAGAACCCGGTCTAACTGGTTACATACTGGTTTTAGACCACTTGGCATTACTTTCGAGGTTACTGGTTAATCTGGACTGGTTTTAGTTGCGTTGGGACTGGGTTGGGACTGGTTTTAGTTGCGTTTATTAAATCAATATGAAAAGTGTTTGGTAGATTTGATCTGGTCTGTAGCTCTCCTCTGGTGTTGCTCGGACTGGTTTTAGACCAGTCTGGTGTTTTATTTAAACTGATTTTTGGACTTAATTTGGCTTTTAGATGGTAGTTTTTTATATTTATTTGATTGTAGCTCTGCCCAATTTCTCTTTAGATCATTTATTTCTGGTTCTGGAATCACGTAGAAACTGCATTGTTCTTTGATAGTTTGACAAACAGCTACCTGAGACCCGGTTCATTTGGTCTCGTGTCGTTCTTTGTTTAGTTCGCAGAAAATTCAGAGTAAAGTTTATATAAATCTCATTTTCTATTTTGAACTTTGATCCCTGACACAGAAAATCAAATTATCAGGAGATTGTTCAGCAATAATGAACGGCGAGGACTCTGCGGGGTGAGGGAGGGGCCCCCTTGTGGTGATGATGGTGAAGTTTTTCTTGTTTCAGGTTGTTTATATTTTGTCTGCTTATTTAAATGCAGAAAAGGTCAAAAAGTTTTAGATTTCAGACGCATTTAAACTGGTTCCAGTTTGGTTTTATGGTTCATTTTCCCATCAGAAGTTTTTGACCCGTTTCAAACTTATTCATATATTTAGTTTTAATTGTGAAGCACCCCTTTTTTTTTTTTTTTGAAGCTTTACAGTTTTTGGATCTAGAATCAAGATCTCACATTTTGACCTTTTTGTTGTTTTTTTCTTCTGCTGCAGGATTATGTTGAAAACATTTCATGTAAAATAATTTATTTTTAGATTTCACATCATTTTTGGCCAAAACAGGGTTTCCATGGGTCATTAAAAATCATTAAAAGTCATTAAATTGATATTTTTTAAATTAAGGCCTTAATTGGCATTCAAATTTATTAAATGTGTTTAAAATTTTATAAAAACAATTTCGTCGGACGATATATATTTACGTGGAACTGCTTCTGGTTGATCGCAAAGACGTACGTTCGGAAAAGAAGCTTGAGTCTGAGAAAAAGCTAGAGAATGGGGAAGGATGCCAGTTTGAACAAAAGTGGTTTATAAACGAGGAATTTGCGGCGTGGCTGCAGCCTGTCGACGGCTACCTGTTGGTGGCATTAAAATGATTTCTAATTGCATTAAAAAGCATTAAATTAAGAGTTATTAATTCCTGTATAAACCCTGCAGAAAAACAAAAAGTAAAACATAATGTTGACTGAGGAACGTCTGATGTGTTTCAGATGCTGGGAACTCTCACTGCTGTGCCCATCAAGGTGCCTCAAGTCAGCTCGCTGCACCGGCTGGCAGGACAAGCAGCCACAGTGCTACCTCAGGTAATCATCAGGTGTCGAGTAATGAAGTACAAATACTTTGTTACTGTACTTAAGTACA